GAATGCTGGCACCCTTATACTGAAAGGAGGAAACAGTGAGTTTAGGCCGACATCGATGGTATGAAGATGTAACTGTCTCCTACAATACACAAATGACATTCATTATTGCAAATATGATGGGAATATGAGAGCAGCAATAAGTTTATAGATGCAATTTGTAAATACTCAGGAAAAAAAGGAAAGGGAATGTTTTGAAACAGTCTAAGTAAAACATGATTATGGCATGGACAAGCGTTGTGTCTGTGGATAAGCCTGAAATATTCAGGGAGTGGAACCATACACCACTTGATGGACTGGATACAAACAATGGAAGAATGAAAGACTCATGGGTTTTGGGCTTGAATTCTAAGTATTAATAGATGCTGCTGGGAAGAATGGGGGTGAAACAGATTTTAGGTCAGGGAAAATCAGTAACTATCTCTAGATATCTTAATTTTGAGACAACTATTAGAAACCTAACAGGAGACACTGACTATTCGTTTAGAGGAACAAGACAGGAGTTCATAGTGGGTATTTGAGGGAGAGACTCAATTTTGGAAATCAAATAAATGGAGGAGCTCCCCGAAGGAAAAGGTATTCTAGGAAAAAAAGAAAATTCTTTTCAATTTTCTTTGTAGAAAATCTTACGATATGTGGATAATGGCAATTTTATTTCTCTTTTTCCAATACTTATTCCTTTTATTTATTTTTGTAGTCTTACCGCATGCCTTAGGATTTCCAGGACAATGCTGAGTAAAAGTGTTTTTAGTAGGCATCCTTGTTTGTACATAATCTTAAAGACAGACTCTCAATATTTGACCAGTAAATATTTGTTTTCCTCTAGGTTATTTTGTAGATAACCTGCCTTAGGTTAAGAAGTTCCTTACTTGTAGCTTCCTAGCATTTTATATTTTTCTTTTTAAAAAATTTTGATGTTGAATTCTCTCTCAAATGCTTTTTTGTATCCATTGAAGTAATAATAATATTTTCTTCTTTGAAATGATGATCTACTTCTAGAATAATTCCAACTTGGTGATGATACATTATTTTTTAAATACATTACTTTGCTAATATATTTTCTATAATTTTTCAACCATGTTAATCAACTAAATTGGTCTCTAATGGTCATTTCCCATACTATGCTTAATGAGTTTTGTATCAAGGCCATAATCCCATACAATGAGTTAGGGAGACATCTTTCTTTTTCTGTTCTCTGGAAAATATGTGCAAACTGAAAATTATGTGCTCTTTGAATGTCTATAATAAGCTCTTTGTAAAGCTTCATGGGAAACCCTCAGTTACTTTTCCTGGAGACAAAGATAATACAGACTTATTAGGAGGGTGAGACATAGGTATTCAAGATTCATGACAATCATCAATTTGATAGGTACTAATTACTAGTGGCTGATGTTCTTCTGAGTATTTTTTTTAATCATAACAACCTTATGGGATAGTTTCTCTTATTACCCTCACTGTACATATTGAAGAACTCAACCTTGAGAGATCAAGAAGCCTGAGATCATGCAGTCATTACATAATAGAACAAAGATTTGACTGAGGTCAGCCTCATTCCAGAATTTGCAATATATATCTATTCACTTTGACAAATTTATTATAAAAAAGGGCAAACTGCTGAAAATACTGTTTTTCTATGAACCAATTTGAGTTTATTTTCTTCTCGAAAATTGTGGTGATTAATATAATCAAATTATCTGTGAAGGATATTTTTATTTTACTTGAATCATTACAATTTATACTTGGGCTCATATTCAGAAATCTTTTATTGTAACTATTATTTTCCTGAGGATTTTGTTCTTTCTAACTCTAGGCTCACTATGTTAACTTTCTCTCTTGTTGACATGAGTAAGAGCATATCTTTTCTATTGCTGAAATCATGTCCATATGGACTTTTCTTCTGTGAATCCGATCAAAATGTAGAAGATAATTGTATTTATAATTAATACTATAATAATTCATACAATAATTGTATTTATAAATAATACTATAATAATTCATATAATAATTCATTCAAATAATAGTGTAACAATTCCATAATTTACTTTAATGAATAACTACAGTCTTTTTGTTCAGGAGAAAATGATCCATAAATTATATAAATGGTATATCTGCATAAAGTAATAGTTATTAGGTTGCTACATTGTTTTTGCTTTCTAATATTTTCCATACATATCAGTTGAATTTTGAAGCTCCTCCCTTTCATATTTTAAAAACGCAGATTTACTTTAAAAAAATACATCAATGATAGTCATGCTAGGAGTTCCACAATTTAGGGGAAATGAAGAAAGTAATTAAATAAGTGGAAATAAAAATATATTTTATATCTTGTGATAATTGGAATCATGCTGTTTAATAGGAGACTACAAGGACAAAAATATAATGAATATTACCAAGTAAATATGATTTAAGATTAAAGCAATTATTATTTTATTACAAACAGTATTCATTATCTATTGCTGTATAACAAATGACTCCAAAACTTAGTGACTTAAACTAATCATTTCATTTCTCAACATTCTGTGGGTCAGCATGGTTTTTTGGGTTGGTTGATGGGTGAGTTGGGAGCTAGGGAGGTGGGGTGCCAGGGATGGATGAGCCTCACTTTCCATGTGATTTTTCATCCTTGGAAAGACTAAATCGGGATTCTTCACAAGCAGTCTCTGGGCAGTGTTCCCGTGAAAGGCAAGCAAAGGCTGGATGGCCTTTTAAGGCTTTGTTTCTAAAGTCACACAATGCTGCTTTTGTCACAGTGCCTTGGTCAAAGCCAAGTGACAGGACAACCCATACTCAAAGAGTGGAGAAATAGATTCCACCTCCTCATGGAAGAAGCCGCAACATGGAATCACAACAGGACACAGACACAGGGAGCATGGCTCATTGGAAGCCATTATTTTAACAACCTACCACACCAACGAAATGACAGCTTGATACACTGCCTTTTGAAAGGTTAAGTCCGTAATCTTTTTAACCTCATGCTGAGATATAAAGCACGTTATATTGGTTTGAGAGTCTCATACATCACCCCAAACTGTTTCTTATGGCATTTTAATGAAACCAGGGTGCTTTCATCTTTTCATATTATAAAAAGAGTTCCTCTGAGATGTTTTAATCTCAGCCATAAAAGAATACAGACATTATTAAAACGAATTTCAGCAGATGCCATAAATGAGAAATAATGAGATAAACTATTGGGATAGAATTTTAAAACTGTTCATTTTGATGGATTTATTGAAATAACAGCAAAATAAGAATGTGAAAGAACCAATTCAAATCACCTTTGTAATTTTTTGTTTGTAAAAATAGACAATTTCAGTGTGTTTGTTCTGTTGTGAGCACATCAATGGCTTGCTAAAGGGAGAAAAACTAAAATCTACTCTGAACTTTAGTTATAGCACATTCAAAATTAAAAAGTGTTTTCCCAAACTACATATTGTTTTAAGATCCACATTCAATATTCATCTATTGAAGACCTAATATGTTTCAGATATTATTTATTTAATCCTTACTGCTAATTCTAAACAATGGAATAGAGACATTATATTATTATGGTCATTTAACAAGAGAAAAATATAGGAGCAAAAATACTAATATGCTGAGCTAAATCTTAAATGTTGGCACTCAAAGTTAAATATATTTTTAAAAACTTTAGTGCTGTGCCATTACTATCTTCCTAAAAATTTTATCATAGCAAGACATTATGAGGTATGAAAATTTTGCAAAAATATTCCTTTTCCTAAATAATAATAAAAATAAGGCAGCTTAGTTACAAACTTTTTTTAGATAAATAATTGGCACTTCTTGAATGTTAATAACAAATGTAACTGGCCAAGAATGGAATACTTTACATGTATTTTTCCATTCAATTTCAAAAGATTGTCTACAAAGGAGGTACTGTTACTTTTAATTTTTGGTTTAGGAAACAGGCTTAAAGAAACCCTGGCACCATCTAAACCATTTAAATTCACAGAGACCATTTAAATTCTCAGAATCTCTGGTTAGTACTTTAAAAAAAATCTTCAAAACAGATTGTAAAATGCTGCCAAAGTTGAGAGTCATTGCTTTAAGTTGTTTCCTATACTTTTTTAGAAAAAAGTGATGTCATTAGCAGCAAGGTTAAAAGATAAGAGTCAGAGAAAATTGAATAGCAATAATTTCATGATTCTCATCCTTATTTTAAAATTTCTTAGTGTTTATAATGTTTCTTTTAAATATCATATACTAATAGGTAAGCATTTTAAGGTATGTGAATACATCGTCTGAAGGACATACATTTTGCAAATGCATACTTAAAATGATTTATATTTTAATGACTTTTGAAGGTTTAGACCATTAAGGTGAAATTTTATAAAAATGGTTCTTATATTTGAAAAAAAAGTATATAAACTACTGCCTGGATCAAAATTAATTCCTACAGGAGCACTCAAGAAAAAAATAAAGTACCATTTTACTGTTCGATTTTCTAACATTAAAGTATAATGTCTTGTGGATAATTATTTTAAAAGCAGTACCTGAATGAAAAATTCACATGTATCTTGTTCTTGAATTGTTTTCAAAATCTACCCCCAAATAAAGTCTATTTAAAATACTTGAATATATTATGTTATTCTATTCCGTGGTAAGTTTATATGTATATAAAATGATCTATTGCAAAGTATTGCCTATCTATATGTAAACATAAGTAAAAATTAGTACGTATAACATTTGAAACCTGTGTCTATATTATGTACTCAACTAATCACGGCTAATCTATTCAAGCTTACTAACGTATCCAGCAAGTTCGGTTACTAAAATCACCAAATTATATAAAAAAGTAAAAATTCACCACAAAGATTCACATTTTAAAGTGAATAAATCCTCATAACAAGTAGATGATAAAAAGGAAATTCTTCTGTTCTACAGAAACATGAATGTAATAAGTTACCACTAACTTCAGAGACATAACTCTTACAATCAAAATGGTAATTTGAAGCCATTTAAAGGATCTCATTCAAGGCCAAACTTACCAGCAAATTTGATATGGAATTTATTTTCAGGCTTTAAGATCTGGACATACAAAGGGCAATTTGGAGCAAAATCTTTTACAGCCCATGCTCTCAAAATTGTTTGGTGGTCCTGAAATGATAAAAATCAAAATATCACGAGATAAATTGAAAATTTTATAATATATTAAGTAAAAATCATCAGTCAGTGTGTGAAATGGTCATATCTACAGTTTAAAATTAAGCATATGAAATCATTCTTTGTGAGGTCTTACTATTAAAGATAGTTATTATTTCTATAAAAGAGATCAACAATACCTAATTCAATCAGTAGTAACTATCAACACTTAGGAAATTAGCAGAGATTAAGAGGGAAGTCTCTTGACAAGCTTAAAAATAATTTTCCCAGAAAATACTTGAGGGGCAGAAACCTTCAGAAATGCAGCACAACTGTTAGTTTGTAATAACAGTTTCCATGGAAAAAAAATATGGACATAAAATAATTTTAACATAGTTAGAAAGACTGGTAAAAGGGGAATGACTGCAGTGACTATTTGTGAGGAGAACACATTAGTTTACTTCTTATATGACAGTAAAGATAAAAGGATTTTGACGGTGTGTGTGTGTTGGAAGACCAATAACGTTCAGATATTTAAAAAGTAACAAAAAAAAGATCTTTTAAAAAAGATGCTAAGACTGAGAAAGACAGTGAAAATCATGCTTACCATGAAATTTTACACATAGTGTCACCCTATAAATTATTACTTAATTAACTGAATAAATCAAAGCAAATTACAGCTGTCCCTCAGTTTCCAGGACTCTCTGTGGACAATAAAATACAAGGATGATCAAGTCCCTCATATAAAATGGCATAGTACTGGGGACTTCCTGACGGCACAGTGCTTAAGAATCCGCCTGCCAATGCAGGGGACACAGGTTCAATCCCTGGTCTGGGAAGATCCCACAGGCTGTGGAGCAACTAACCCTGCGAGCCACAACTACTGCCCATGTGCCACAACTACTGAAGCCCATGTGCCTAGAGCCCGTGCTCTGCAACAAGAGAAGGCACCACAATGAGAAGCCCGCACACCGCAATGAAGAGTAGCCCCTGCTCACCGCAACTAGAGATAGCCCGCAGGCAGCAACAGACCCAACGCAGCCAAAAATAAATAAATACAATAAATAAATTTATTTTAAAAATAAAATGGCATAGTATTTGCATATAACCTATGTACCTCCTCCCATATACTTTGAATCATCTCTACATTATTATAATATTTAATACAATGTAAATATGATGTTAATAGTTGCTGGCAGGCAGTAAATTCAAGTTTTATTGTTTGAAAATTTATTTCTGGCATTTTTTTTCAAATATTTTTGATCCACAGTTGGTTGAATCTGAGGATACAAAACCCTCAGATACAAAGGGACAAGTGTATTGGAGAAATTTGCTACTCAGCTACATTTATTTTATTTATTTACTTTTTTATCAAAGTATATAAGTTACAGGTGTGCAATATAGTGATTCACAATTTTTAAAGGTTATACTCCATCTATAGTTATTATAAAACATTGGCTATACTCCTTGTGTTGTACAGCTTGTCTTATACATAATAGTTTGTACCTCTTAATCCCCTACCCCAATATTGCCCTCCCTCTCCCCCTCTCCCCACTGGTAACCACTAGGTTTGTTCTCAATAAATGGTAGTCTGTTTCTTTTTTGTTGTATTCACTAGTTTGTTGTATTATTTAGATTCCACATATAATGATATCATACAGCATTTGTCTTTGTCTGACTTATTTCACTGAGTATAATACCAAGTCCATCCATGTTGCTGCAAATGGCAAATTTTCATTATCTTTTATGGCTGAGTAATATTCCATTGTATATATGTACCACATCTTCTTTATCTTTTCATCTGTTGATGGACAGTTAGGTTGCTTCTGTATCTTTGCAATTGTAAATAATGCTCCTATGAACAGTGGGGTGCAGGTATCATTTTGAATTAGTGTTTTAGTTTTTTTTTCAGATACATAAGCAGGAGTGGAATTGCTGGGTCATACAGTAGTTCTATTTTTAGTTTTTTGAGAAACTTCCATACTGTTTTCCACAGTGGCTGCACCAATTTACTTTCCCACCAAGAGTGTACGAGCATTCCCTTTCTTCCACATCCTCACCAACATTTATTATTTTTGTTCTCTTTGATAACAGCTATTCTGACAGGTGTGAGGTCATATCTCATTGTGGTTTTGATTTGCATTTCCCTGATGATTAGTGATACTGAGCATCTTTTCATGTTCCTGATGGCTATCTGCATGTCCTCTAGCCACAAAAATCAGAGAAGAAAACAAAATAAAAGAACTCCAGATTGGAAAGGAAGATGTAAAACTGTCACTGTTTGCAGATAACATGATACTATAGGATTTAGAAAATCCTAAAGATGCCACCAGAAAACTACTAGCGTTCATCGATGAGTTTGGTAAAATTGCAGGATACAAAATTAATATACAGAAATCTGTTGCTTTTCTATACACTAACAACAAAATTTCAGGGAGAGAAATTAAGGAAATAATCCCATTTACCATCGCATCAAAAGGAATAAAATATCTAGGGATAAGGAGGTAAAAGACCTGTACTTTGAAAACTATAAGACATTGATGAAAGAAACTGAAGACCACACAAACGGATGGAAAGATATATTGCGTTCTTGGACTGGAAGAATTAATATTGTTAAAATGACCATACTCACCAAAGTAATCTACAGATTCACTGCAATCCCTATCAAAATACCAATGGCATTTTTAACATATCTAGAATAAATAACCTTAATATTTGTATGGAAACACAAATGACCCGAACTGTCCAAAACTGTCTTGAGAAAGAAGACTAGAACTGGAGGAATCACACTCCCTGACTTCAGACTATACTACAAAGCTAATCAAAACAGTATGGTACTGGCACAAAAACAGACACATAGATCAATGGAACAGAATAGAGAGCCCAGAAATAAACTCACATATGTATGGTCAATTAATCTACAACAAAGGAGACAAGAATATACAATGGATAAAAGACAGTCTCTTCAATAAGTGGTGCTGGGAAAACTGGACAGTTACATGTAAAAGAATGAAATTAGAACACTCCCTAATACCATACACAAAAATAAGCTCAAAATGGATTAAAGACCTAACTGTAAGACCAGAAACCATAACAGTCCTAGAGGAAAACATAGGCAGAGTACTCTTTGACATAAATTGTAGCAATATTTTTTTGGATCCATCTCCTAAAGCAAAGGAAATAAAAGCAAAGATAAACAAATGGGACCTAGTTAAACTTAAAAGATTTTGCACAGCAAAGGAAACCGTCAGCAAAGCTTAAAGACAATATACAGAACGGGAGAAAATATTTGCAAATGATATGACCAAAAAGGGTTAATATCCAAAATATATAAACAGTTCACTCAACATCAAAAACCAAACAACCTGAATAAAAAAATGGACAGAAGACCTGAATAGATATTTTTCCAAAGAGGACATGCAGATAACTAATACATTTCAACAAAGAAAGCAAAAATATGTTCTAGTGTAGCACTGTCCATGCAAAAGCCACTAGCCAAATGTGACTGTTTAAACTTAAATTTAATACAATTAATTAAAATTAAGAATTCAATTCTTTATCACACTAGCTACATGTCAAGAGTTCAAAGCAACATGCAGCAAATTCAAAGCTGTATTGGATAGTGGAGATATAGAATATAGAGCATTTTCATCATCACAGAAAGTTTTATCTGACAATACTATTAGGGAAAAGGAGGATTAAAAATATAGATAGATCTGAGGGACTACAGTGCAGAAAGAAGAAACTGTTGTCAATGGTTTGTAACTTTAAGTTGCATGAAAGTTAATGAAGAGTAAACCAGAATTCTTTACGTGAACAGTGTGTGTCTTCCAAAACATAACAACGAGCCTAATATGGTGTGATAGTTAATTTTATGCATCAACTTGACCAGGTCACAGGGTGCCCAGGTATTTGGTTAAACATTGCTCTGGCTGACTGGGAAATACCAGAATATGGAGAGGCAGAGAAGAGAAACCACAGACTGTGTGTAAAAATTTACACAACATTGGCTGACCCTTGAACCGTACATGCATGCGGCCAAATAAAAGCAATCTGAACTAAGATTTGAATCACTGCCAACTCCAAGGGTAATAGAATTTTCCTTTTGAGTTGGATCAAATTAACTGCTTTCTAAAACAAGAACATCAATACTCTTGGAGGAATACAAGAGAATCCAAGGCTTCTCCACAAAGCACTATAAACAGAAAACAAAGCAAAATTACTGAATATATGAAGTGGCAGAAAAATGTGACCTATTTTCATAGGAAACAAACAAATAAAACAATACCCAATAACTGCTAGCCTCTAGATGATCTAGATGTTAAAATTATCAGACAAGGATTAAAGCAGCTCCTATAACTAAGATCAGTGAGGTAAAGGAAAATAATGCTTGTAATAAACAGAGAAAAAAAAATCAGTAGAGTAATAGAAAATACTTTAAAAATTAAATAGGAAACTAAAATAGCTGAAAAATATTCACTGGATGGACTTTGAGATAGAATGGAAATGACAGAGGAAAGAGTCAGTGAACTTGATCACAGATCAATAGAATTTATCCAATTTGAAAAACAAAGAAAATAGGAATGGAAAAAGGAACAGAGTTCAGGGACTTTTGGAACAAATGTGAAAACATCTTAAGTAATGTAACTGGACTCCCAGGAAAGAAACAAAAGATAAATTAAAGCAGAAAATTATATGAAGAAATAATGGTCAGGAACCTCCCAGTTTTATGAAAGACACAAATTTACAAGTTTAAGGAGTTCAGCAAATCCCAACTTATGCACACAAAATGATAACCACACCTAAGCACATTGTAGTCAAACTGTTGAAAAGCGAAGATAATGATACTGTCTCGAAAGCAGGCAAAGAAAAACAGTCATAAGACCAAGGACTCTCATCAAAATCATGGAAACCAGGTGACAATGAAACAATAGCCTAAAGTTCAGAATGATGAGGAAACAAAACAAAAACTTGTGAAACCAGCATTTTATATATAGAGGAAAATCCTTCAAAGA